AAAAATTATATTGTAAGTTTAAATTTGTTTCTTTTTTTAAATTTTTTCATTAATTTTTTAGGTTGGTACACGTCTTTTATTAATTCGTGAAAATTATGATATTATTTTATATGATGCTCAACAAAAGCGCTCATTAGCAAGTATAAGAAAAAGCAATATGGTCAAATGATAAAGTATGCACTTATTAATGGTGATCATGGAGTTATTTGTACAGTTGATTTACCTATTTATAGAACAAAAGTTAATGAAAATATTGTTTTTTTTGTTTTCATACAGAAGTTCGACCAAAATTAGATGGTAAAGATTGTTGGGAAAAATTAACTTTTATTTATTTACAAGATCAGATTCCAATGCTATTAGGAGATGTTGAAGAATGCATTAAACTTCTTAGACAATGAAATCAAAGTAAGATTTTAGATTGTTCTTTTCTTTTTTCTAAGAGAAAATTATTAAATTTGTTGCGCTTCTTGTACACTGGAATCACTTGATGAAAAAGTAATTTATTATTGACAACAAAAAAAATTCTCATCTTAATACTTCTTCTGAAGGTCTTTAGAAAAAAAAACAAAACAATATAGAAAATTTTATAGTTTTCTAATATTTTCAGATAAAAGTCCTGAAATCTAGTTATAAATTTTCGTGCCAGTATATCAATTCTTTTGAGATTCTAAATAATATCTAAGAATGTTTAATTATGTCTAGCATATTCTGGGTGCGTCCTTTTTCGTCCCTATCTTCCTTACATCCTGACACATGATTAAGGACGAAAAAGGACGCATCCCATATCCTTTATCTAAAGATTTTCCCGTATTATGGGATAGAGAAGTTTATGATAATTATCGATGTTGCTTTTGATATTGACAGATAAGATTTTTTTGAAAATAGATTACAAGAAATTACCATGTTATAGTTAATTTAGTGTTCCTGCTTTGATTGATATCCATTTGAATGTAGATTTTAAAAAAGTAAGAAGACTTCTCATATTCTATGTCAAAAAAGAAATAGGTCGGTAGACTGAGATTTCAACAAAGATGTTATTACTTGTTCTTTATTTAATTGATATGTTAGATATGAAGTATTAAGATAGACATACATTTAATCAATATTAATCTCGTGTTAAATTTCATAATTCAAAATAAAATATATTTTTTTAGTTACTTGAAACAAATCTACATGCTAAATTAATTTTACCACCATGTCCAAGAAGTCAACAAGAATTAAAGCAGGTTTAATATCAAACAGAACAGCAAAACTTGCTGCAAACCTTCATATTGATGAAATAGCAAGAAGTGGTGAAGATTGGACTGATGATGCAATAAAAATTGAAGGTGTAAGTTGAGGTGATACTGAAGTTGAATTATCACCTGATCTTGTATGTTTTTATTCAAATATATAAATTATTTGTTTACTTCATAAATATTTTAAAGTTATTTTAATTATTAAGGCGTAATGAACATTGACCAAAATTATTGTATCTACTACTTGGATTAAAATTAGAAAAATTAGTTGGACGCCTTCAAATTGCTTATTGTTTAACAAAAAACGAATAATTTCAAGATGAACAATGAATTGAAATATGTAAAGAATATATTGTTAGTTGACAAATGTCATTGACAAAAACGAAGATTTAGCGAAAGATGATGAAAAACGTTGATATGAATTAGTTGCCTGTTTTACTCATTGACAATTACAATCAATGCACAAAATCATAAAATTAAAATCTGCAGTTAATCAAGCATTTAAATTAAAAATTTATACAACTGCAACAAGCTTCACCAAACGTTTATTGGAATTGGAACCAACACCTGATGTTACTCAATAGATTTTCTGTTTTAGTATTAATCTTTCATTTTCAAACCAAATACTCTCATTCTTTCTTGACTTCAACTTTGAAAGGTTTTAAAATAAACCAAAAAAACAAGAAAGAAAACATATCTTTAATGCACTCAAGATATATCAAATCTGTTGATCGAAGTTGTTCATGCGTTTTTGATTTATTGGAAACAATTGAGTTTATTCTTTGTTAGATGAAACATAATTTTGATTGAATTATTTTAGAAGGGGAACAAAAAAATAAATTTTTTTTTGTATTATTTTGTTTAGACACGAAGAGTATTAAATGTTTGTGAAAAAAATCCAATTGATGAACATCCATTAAATTATGATGAATATAATCCATTTAATATTTGTGCTGCATCCAATGTACCACATTTATCGGTATGAAATTTAAAAATGAAACCGAATTTAATTTAAAGTAATCTTTAATTCTTGTTTAGTGAAAATCCATTATCCGGTGCAGTCCATTTACCGGAATTTATAGGACAATTATGTCGAGTTATAAAAGCAACTGAAATTGGAATTCTAATTCTATTATCATTATTATTAACTTTTAATGCATATATTGATCACTTTGAAAAAGTAACTTATCATTAAAACGTTTTTCTTTTATTTCAAGATAAAGAAATCCGTTTCTAAAACGAGAATTTAGAATCAATACATGTGTTGGAAATAAGTTTACTTCAGTAGACATTGAAATTCTATGATAATATACAAAAATAAATAATCTCGATTTATAAAACGATATCAATGCAACTGAGTACTTTATAATTGTTTAAGAAATTTTATCGACATGATTTCATTTGATATTCGACCTTTGCAATATCTCGATTGACTCACTCAATTAGTAACCTACGCAGATCTATTAAGTCATTAATAAGACAAAGAGATAATTAAATGTCTAGCGATATCCTTTTTTTTATAGATTTCTTCATATTGAAATAAAAATAAAAATGAACAATGAGAAATAAATTTTCATTCTCAAAACTAAAATGGAAGATAATAATGATAATGATGATTTTCCATTCAATGGTTTATTTTCCCCAATTGAAAAAATCTTCGTTGATTTCGATTGACTTTTCTCCAGTTTCGCAACTACAGAGTTTCAAAGTAACAAAAAAATGAAAACCTATTCTAAAAACGATTTTTTTAAAATTAATATCGTTTGTAGATAGTCATCATGGTGATGAAAATCTTGACTCTACTATAGAAAAACATGATCTTAATGAAGCATTTCCAAGAACTGTTATAATAACAACAATGAAACAAGAAACAACATAATTGGAAAGATGTGTTATTGAAAAACAAATTCAATAATCATTAAATCAAAATGAAAATAACAAAACTGAAACAATGAGTAAAATATGTAAAGATAAACATCATACAACAGTAAAACAAGATGGTAAAATAATTCGAGAATATGGAAATGCAACAATGAATGAATTAAATCAAATTGATAAAGACATTCGGATTTTTTTAAAAAGCTTTTTTCTTAAATAAAAGTTTTTTGTTCAAATGATCTACTAAAAATAAATGAAAGAAAATATTATTTGAGTTTGTTTTTTTTTTATTTTGAAAAAAAAAACATGTAGTTGTCTCCCTGTTTTTTACTTAATATATTTTATTTTTTCTGCTTCGTCAAAACTAAATCTCTTTTCCGATTGAAAATAAACTTGTCGACAATACCATCATTTTCCTCACCAACGGCAGAAAAAAAACAGAAAAAAGGTGTCAATTCAAGTCGGATGAACATCCGACAGCTATAAACAACTAGACAAAAACTTTTTTTCTCTAATCTTCATTTACAATTAACTCACAAATTAGAATATCAATTTAATTTCTTAGAAAAAAAAATCTACAAATATTTCAATATCAATCTTTACTATAAAGTAAATTATTTAGATACGTTGAATAATATATTAGTATCATTCGTGAAGAAAGGAACTTTTCTTTTTGTTAAATAGCATATAAACGGATGCGAAGAAATCATTGTGCAAATTAAGAAAGTTATTGTTCTCCTTTTCTTCTGATCTAAAGCCACACCAACGCCCTGGAAATTCTTCGCTTCGCATCGCAATGGCGATTACGTTTTTGGATACGAGTATTATCCATGATTTTATAAGTCTGATTATGAGAGTGATAGATTTTCTTAGCACAGACACTAAACATTTACATGTCAGTCGGTTATCTAAGTCATGGTATGATAGGAAATTTGGATATTTTGAAAAACAAGACAATTGAAAATAAGATACATGAAAAGCAGTCGTATATATTGTTTATTTCTAGAAATAAAAGTCTCTGTGGTGACTAATCTAAGGGAAAACATGGTTTTTTTTATATCTCACAGTCATAATAGTAATAGAAACTGTATAATCTTTCTTTGAACCACAGTTCTGATCAGTCTAATTCGATACCGACATGGCTGCAGGCTATAGATTGAAAAGAGTTGTAAAAACTGCGATGCCCGAAACAGGCTTCAAAATGGACAACTTTTTCATGGTATAGATTTGTCCGATCCGATAAAAATTTCGTTTACAAAGATTTCTTCTAGTTGTATTTGAAGATGATTTCGCCATCTTTGAAGAACTTGATACATGTAAATGAATATAACATGATATATCTTTCTGAAGACTTCTCACAAATGGAATCTCAAAAGGACAATCAATACATAAACGATTTTTTCAACACTAGTTAAAAACTTATCGATCATTTACAACTCTATTTTTTGCTATGAAAAATTAAGTCTTGAGTCGAACTTTCATCCTAATTCCTCGTTTTGTTGTGATTTCTAGTTTATCTATTTATAAATAAATATCAGTAAGAATCATTAGTGTAATTGTCAGTCTTTCATGGATACTATTAATTCAATAAGAATTATTACATTTCAATTCATTTTTCTTAAAAAGAATATCAATAAAAAAGTTGTTAGCACAAACACTGTGAAATGAAAATATGGAATAAGACGAAACTGTGATGTGGTATACAAAATAAAATAATCAGTATATGTTTCAATTTATGAATCGTACCTATTGTAAATAAATGGCGATCGTGAAATGTATCACTTCCAATATAGTGCAATGAGTATGAAGGAAAAGTAAAGGGCAATTATCATACTAAGCTTAGTTCTTACATAAGAAGTACATCAGCAAGATTCAAATGTATGGATATTGCTGGAATAAAATTTGAGTTAGTATCTGTTCGAGTCAAAGCCAGGAGCTGATAGAGACCAGATTCAGTTTTTTGTTCTTCGGGTCCACGAAAATGTACACCTGCAACTCAATAACTTCAACAGCCCTTTTAGATCGTGTTTGACAAAATTTAAAAAAGAAAGTTGTTTTATTATTCTTGTGAAAAAGCTTGTTAGCATAGTTCATTTAGTGTCGATATATGGAACTCATATATACCACATAAGATAGAATAATTGCTAAGATCTATAATGGAGAGAGGAGTCGAAAGCCTTCAATTTAAAATTTACACTCATTATATCCTTCGAAAATATATGAAAGTTCTACAAAAAAACACTTTTACATTAATTTAATAGAGTTGATTGCATAATATATTT